CCCCAAAACCCCAAAACCCCAAAACCCCAGGAGAGATATATAAGTTGGAATACTTTTCTAGCAATATATTATAAACCCAGAATGACAAGACAAATAACTCAAATTAAGAAATCTTAAAAAAAATCCAGCATTATCCTTCCGTAGCACCAAAATCCTTTATCCCATTACTTCTCTTTCTTGACTTACTAAACCCCCAAACTCTTCAATCCCTCATGAACCTTTCTCATCCCAAAAACGATGTCTACCCCAACCTAAAATGCCCTAAATCCTTCAAAATCTCTCTAACCCTCCTAAACCCCTCATTTCCTCTCTAATCCACCCTCCAAGCCCAATTTCCCTATCAGCCAGCCCCCTACTTCCAATCCCCTAACCCTAAACCCCCAACCCAACAGTTCCACCAAACTTATCCCACTCAATTAAGCCTCTTCCATTTCCCTTATTAATCCATCCCTTCCTTCCTCTCTGAATTAGAGTACCCAGCCAGATCTGACTCTATCCTGATCTGTCTCTTCTCCACTTGAGTTTCTCTCTTAAAATCCTGTTGCTCTATACCCCATTATTCCAGCCCTCTTCTAAGAATCTGTAGTTTTAGCACTCAAAATTTTTACTTTCGAATCCTCAGTTAATTTATGACGCTAAGTGTAGAGAGGTAAGGGAAAGGGTCTTGAGGGAATTAGAAATTAGGGAAGAAGGAATGGGGTTTTGTAGTGGGAGAGAGTGTGGTCGATGGGTGAAGAGGGTTGGGTGATAAGGGGTTGGGCGATAGGACAAGTTTGAGTAGAATAGAAGAAGGTCAGGTTAATAAGGTGGCTATGTTTTGGAATGGGGAACTTAGTATTGGAGTATAAAGACTTTAAAAAGAGATGTTTATAATAAACATATTATGGATTAGAAGTGGTTAGAATTATCTCTTTAAATGAAAGAGTATAAGAAAGAGATATATTAGGAAAGATATTATTGAGGGTGAGTATATAGTCTTTTTTCATTTTATTTTTAATAAGCTAAATTTAATGTCTAAGGGGTGGATAAATGAATTACTTTCTGAGAAATTCTCTCTGTTATTTGATAGACTTCAGCTTCCTGGATTGTAGACAAGATCCTAAAGGTATATGATATGATTTACTCGTTGAGTTGTATAATATGCTTGCTCTGTAGCTTTCTTTCTTATCATTTTTGATCCTCTGAATTTTTTGAGATTTATTCAAAGATCTTACTTTTTCTTGTATTTACTTCTTATTTTCCTTATTTTCTTTTTTCTTGATTTATTTCTGTTCTTTCTTTTTGGATTGTATAGCATCTTTACAGGTTGTTGGATTGCCTCAGGCTCCTCTTCAGTTTCTGTCTTCTTGACTTTCTTGCAAAGTATTTTGGATACCAAGGAGAATGCCTATTATATTAAAGATAAATAAGTTTCTTACGTAACCAATGATTTTGGATTTCTGTCTGAATCACTTCAGACATAAATAGAGCCATTCCAACATAAACATTGTGTTAATAACTATGATAACCAAAAGTATGAGAAAATTCAGATGGCTGATATTCTCGTTCTGTTCATATACGTAACCTGCATTTAGAGTTGTTATTCCTGCAGTTGTTGAGAGTAGATAAGCATTTGTGTGTTCATCAGACTTGTAAGGCTTCAATCTTCTCTCTAATCTCTCACTTACAATCATTACTATGATAGCAAATCCAATTTTGTAGTTAATGGGGAACAAGAAGGAAATGGCTATAAATATTTTCCTGAGGGTGTTCACAAACTCCCAGTAAAATATGTCATCTTTCAGGCCTTGGTACAGAATCAAGAAAGTCTCTAACATTTTAGTGTTCTTTGACTTTCTAGCTCTGTATAACAAGACTAAACCAATTATAGGGAGAGTTATTACCCATGTTGCCAGAATTGGGACTGCTATAAGGAAACACCATTTCAAGTGGGTTCCGGAGTATCAATCAATGTCTGTGTCGATCCTTGCTGAATACATATGGTCGTCTATCTTGACTCATCTGAAAGCATTTATGCTTGACTCGGTGAGTTTGGGGTGGAGGATAAATACTATGCTGATAAATGATATTGTCAAGTTCCTCTTGATATCTTTCACCCAGTTTTTATTGATAATCATAACAAAAAGCCATATTAATAATACTATCAAGCATATAGCAATAGGAAGGAGAAGCATTAGAAACAGTTTGAATACTGAGTTCGAGTTGAATGGTCCTTTGATGTCAGAATCAGTACAAATAAGTTTACTTTTTGATAGTGTTGAATTAATAATTTTTGATAATTTATACAATAGTAGGCTCATTCTCAAACCAAAAATATTAAATGCATATCGAGCGGCATTGAAGTGAAGAGTCTTTAATCAATAAGATTCTCTGAAAATAATTTTGGACGTTTGCAATTCCTATAAAATTAGAATAATGTTCTGAATTAGCTGGAATATTAGTTAGCTTTATAATTTCAATAACTATATTGAAAATTAGTATGTGCACTTCAAAATATTCATTTATTGATTCTGAATTTTTAAGGAGACAAGATTACACCTGTCAAAACAATGATAAGAAAGAGTAAGCTCTGGAACTTATTTAGCAGAGGTATTTGATTACTGAGCAAAATGAATAACAAATTATTTATTGTAAAGGACTAGTCTTATTGAATGCTTGATAAAATTAGTCTAGTCCAAGAATAGATTTGATAGAAGTGATTTTTTTCCTTATTGGTGCAAGGAAGATAATTCATGTTTCTCCAAGATAAAGAAGCACTTTCTTGATTGCCGAGATATTCTTTTAGTAAAGGCTAAGGAATTTTTACAAGTAATGACTCATGTGTGAAACATAAGGTTTAGAGTTGTTTGGTAATTTTATCCGGATCATCTATGATTTGTAGAGATACTTATAAGATATTGGCAGCACAGAAAACCCAAAACAATCCAAGCTCAAAGAGAATGTGCTAACATCTTTCCAGCCCAAATGAACCTATCCATTCCAATTAATAGAAAATGCTATAAATTTTTTATCTTAGCGTTAAAAGTTCATTTTGACTAAAACCATTAAACTTTACCCCCATAAATGACCAAAAACAGTTTCAACGCGCACACAAGTGTCAAGTAAGACTAAATCCTATAGGACAGATACACTTTAGCATATCCCAATGTTCCAAACTCGTAACCCACAAGGCTAACCTTTGTGTGCGTCACTCCCTACAGCAGACCTACCTTTAGCTCTTGGCGTACTCCTTCAAAGCTGTTATGGCCTGCTTGGCTATGCTCAGCCTAGTCTAGACCATCTGTGGAGACTGGTCTGTTTTTAAACTAATGTTTGGCTGTGGTGCTGCTAATAGATGGGATGGATTCTTATGGAACTGGGGTCGGCAGATAGGTGGTAAGTTGGCTATGTTCGTGGGTCAAGCGAGTGGAGGGTTGGACTGGGAGAGTGGGAGGCTCGTCACTAGAATTGGTTTGTTGGGGTTAGGATGGTTTATTTAAGTTAATGAATCAGTCAAAGGATAGAAATGTTTGAGATGATCCTCCAATTCTTTCAATAGGCAAAAATATGATGGCCATTGACGATGGGTACTTGGTTGTCATTGACATTGATGTTGTAATGATTTGGAGATAACTTGTAAGAATTCTTAATAAAATTGAAAAATCACTCTCAGTAGTCTTTCTGATATTGGCGATAATAATGACCATGAAGAAGGCTAATATCAATATTACCAATCCAATGACTCTCAATGCATTAAATATCGGATTTGGGCATACTTCTCATTCAAAATCATTTATTCTTTGATATTTCTGGTCTGAAGTAATTTTACATTTTGAGCACAGTTTGCCGGTATAGCCAGTTCCTCATTGAACAGGATGCTCATTTTCTGGGTGGTATCCTCCTTTGCATGCATCTTTTATGAAGCATTCAATCAACGTGGTTGAATTGGTTGATCTTCTCCAGTAGCCTTTGGCTACTTTCATCTGCTGATTTCCTAGACAATCAGCATTATCTAAACATTTATGGCATTGAGTGGAGTTCCAATCAAATGAATAAGTTCCAGCTGGGCATTTATATCACTGTCCATTAATAACTTGCTCTCCAGGCTTGCAATAACTGAAATTTATAAGTATCTCTAGTGGTGAGATCTTAGAATTGAAGGCTTTTGTCACTTTCTCTCTTACTATTGATTTTGATGAAACCTCATACCTTACTTGAGAAGAAGCAGGCTGAGAAATAGGAGTAAAACCAGTGAATTTAGTTGTTCCATTGACAAGTTTGAATGAACTGATTCCTTTGATAGAAGAATCCTGAGATTTAGGAGTTATAATGACCTGACTTGAGTTTTCCATGGTAATTATTTGGCCATCTCCGTCATACAAAGCAACATTTATTTCTTGAATAATTGGTATTCCAGGTGAAACAAGATCAATTTCGATTTTTTCTGATATATTTCCTCCTAAAGAGCCAATCTGAGCGGGATAGCTTGCAATATTGTCTCCATAAGGTGCTGAATTATCAGCAAAGACTGTATGGTCGTCAATAGCAGCAGGTTTGTAGCTATAGTATATTGATCCTCCTTTTCCTGATGCTACATTAGATGTGAAGTTGCTATTTTGTATCTTAACATTTCAGTTAATGTGAGTAGAGCATATAGAAGCAATAGCTCCACCTGAGACTGCTTTATTTTCAACGAAGCTCGTATTTGATAGTGTCGCATTGCTTTCTTCAATGTACAATGCTCCAGCATAAATTAGCAGGTCACTTCCACATTGAGAGAAGCTTGAGTGGTTGATCAGCTGGATATTACTGTTTACAACCTCAAGAGCTCTGTAATATCCAGTCACATGAAGGTTCTCGATGAGGCTGACGTAAGAGTTCCGAATTACGAACAAAGTCTTTGTGTAGTTTGCTACAGTTGTGTTCAGTATGATGAGGTGTTCTCATTTGTCTATGAAAATAACTCTGCTAGTTGAAGTAGAATAATCCGCTAATTGGATATCTTCCAACTTCAGCTTGGGAGATCTGTAAATGTCCATCAATGATTCTGAACCATGAATTTTGTCCAAAACAAGACTTTTGACATAAAGTTCTGCTGAGGATGATACAATAAATGCTGCATTAGAATTAGAGTAGGTGATGTTGTTTATTATGATTCTAGAATCAGAAGTCTCGAGCAGAGTTCCTTCATTAGCAGAATTTACCGAATAAATTGAGCTATTTTGTATTGTCACATTTGAAGATAACAAGAAGGAGTAAATGTCTGAAAATTCGATTGAATGAAGAGTTAGACCTGTAAATTCAACATTTGATAAAAATGAGTTAACAAAATATGGTTGGTTATAAATTTCTGTCTCTGAGTTTATTAGGATCGAGCCTGTAATCAAACCCAACGAAAATATTGACGGTTCAGTCACAGTAACTATACTGAGATTCGTGGCTAACATATGAAATCTTCAATACTTACCTAAGTGCTGCTTTAATTCATTACTCAACATTCAAACTCTGTTGCACTGATTATTTACAGCTTGGATGATTTCTGCTTGAGTAGCATAAGAGTTCCCAAAGATCGTTCAGTTGGAGAAGACTGACATTTGCACTGTTTCTTGGATAATCCCAATAGAATGTTGGATGGCATAATTATTGCTCAATACAGTATTTACGAATTGCATTCTTCCGCCTGTATGAGCCTCAAAAATAGCATATTTGAGTGCAAAGTTATTGTAGATCTTGCAATTAACTCAGGTGAGGTTGCTCTCTCTGTCAGCTTTAAATAAACCCGAAGATATTGCTGAATTATTCGTAAAAATTCAATCAGAGAAGAATACATGAGATCTTGATGAAAGATGCAGGACTCCTGAGAAATCATTGATGGATGATATCTCAGAGAAGTTGCTTGAGGCAATCTCAAAGTATCCATTAGACGGAGAGTCAATGAAAGATCTCTGAGGGTTCTGGATCTTCGTGAATTGGCAACTTTCGAACCTCACTTTGCTTGACATGCTTGAGTTTGATGGTCTGATCACGTTCATCACAATGCTTGCTGACGATAAGTCCTCAAACACAGAATTCCTGATGACCACAGGATTCAGCAAGTAATGTTTGAAATTGAAAAGCTCCCCTTTTGTCTTGAAGCTAATGTTAGAAGCTGTAAAGTTTTCGAAAACCAGGTGGCAATTCGTTGGTACTTCAAACCCATGAGTAGATATTATTGACCGAGAAGTCTGGAAGTAAGTATTCATAACTGCCAGGTTGTTGACAACAATGTTACTCTCAGCATTTACAGATGTAATGGTCTTTACATTAATGAAGGAGATGTCTGCGTTATCAAACGAAATATCTTCAAGTATTGTTTCACTGTCTTCTTCAAGTTTCAACTGTACAATGTCGATGAAGTAGTTCAGGGGTTCATCTCCTTCAGGGATTGACACATTCTCAAATGTGTGATTCATGATAGCAAGCGAGGATACTGATCTCAAATGCATTATTGGGACTTGGCCTGCATTTTGAATTCCCTGAAAGAATCCATTAGTGAGTTCGAATTTCTGTAATCTCTGATTGGTGTCTATAAAAGGAGCTCCTCTAAAAATGCAGTTGGACAGGAAAAGTCGGTTTATGCTGATCTCAGTCTCAAGTAGACTTGTTATTTCAAAGTCACTTAAAGTCTTTGTAGATTTTGCAGTGTAATCCCTCACACTAATATCACTCACAATTACATTTAAAGGCTCTACCAAAGTGATTATGCCATTATTATCGAAAACATTTTCTATGGTAACGTTTGTCAGAATGGCTTTCTTTACCCACCCTACGCCGATGAAGTCGTCGAGGACAGTCGCATTTGATATGAATACGTTTGAAATATAGAATGAATCGATAGGTGTAGCTCCAATTGGAATTACTGTAAAAGGCTGATAAATGTGGAGTCCTCTCATATCAAAGTTTGTAAAATTTACTTCGTAATTTCTGTAATGAGGTTGATAAATGAAGAATAAATTTCCAAAAGTGCGATCTTTGTGCCCATCAAACACAAATCTGCTCTTGTACCCGTTGACATCATAAATTTGGGACTCCTCATCTTCTGGAATTCATTGAGGACTTATAAAGCAGCTGATTGCTGATGTATAATCTGCAGCTGTTGAATAGAATCTGCCAATATCAATATTCTCAATAGTCACATTAGCGGGTCCAGTGAACAAGAATATGTCAGTGTTTCTAATAGTTGTCCTGTCTTTGTAAATGACATAGCTGATGTTCTTCGCATAAAAACTTGGACGAACAAAGGCTTCAGGGTAGTTGTAGACCACAGGGTTGTCATCAAACAGACTTCTGAGGCTATACCCTTCAACTGTGATGTTCTCAAAATGAACATTTATTGGATCGTTAGTGATCACTATTTCTCCAGTGATGTTGATGTCAGTGTTCACTATATGAAAGTTAGAAGAAGAGGCTAAACTAAACTTACCTATCTTAAGGAGTCTGTCTTGTGCATAAATAGGGGTGATCAATTTGTTCTTCTGGTTATAATCAATCTCTTCTCGATAAAAGTCAACTCCCATAATCTCTAATGAGGTCCTTAGTGGTTTTATAGTAGAAGTATAGGCTGATAACTTATCCTTCTCATATGTAGAGAATTTACTTTCAGCAAGGACTTTATCAACCTGCATATCTGCATGAGAGAGAATGTGGAATAGAGCTTTTTCAGAGATTCCATGCTGTTCGAAGTGTGTTGGCACCAGCAGAGGTTTTTGAGGGGATTCTAAATAAAGGTTATTATACAAATTGGTTGAAGGAGGGTTTAAATTTTGGAAAATTTCATTATTCCACTAACTTACTTTTGGAAAGATTATAATGCTCAAAGATATTATAATCAGGTAGAGGCATTAGGATCACATTTGTGATGTTGATCAACAATATTTCGTTATCTTTGATATAGCAATCGTTCGTAAATATTCTTAAAGTTCTTTCGGTATTAGAATGGATATTTAGAACCTCAGAGGCTAGTGAAGTGAAAGAACGATATGGAAACTCTTGTGTTCCAAGTTCAATGTTTTTGGCACTAAAGGCATCCACAAAATAATCAGAACTCCTTCAAAGCTTAGGGAGCATATATTGGGAATTCGATAATAAAATTTTAGGAGAGACACAATTAGATATATTGATGCACCTCATATTTTCTAAATCATAGACTTGGTTGTTCTCGCATTCAAATCAGATACTTTGATATCCTCATTCAGAAATTCATTTTCCAGCTCAGCTTTTTCAGACTCCAGCTGTTTTATCAAAGTAATCTCCATCTAAACATTTTTGGCAAAGTCTTCCTTCAACTCCTTCCGAGAGATACCCTTCATGGTGGCTTGGAACAACTTGTAAAAACATATAATCTTCTCATGAATCTCAACTGTAAGGGCCAGAACAAGTCTTTCATGAACTATGACAAGGTCTGCATCCATCTTGTTCGTAGTAGCCATCAAATCAACCTTTCTTATGCATAGAAGATGCAATAGCTAAGGCAAGAGCGAGAATAATAAAAACTCCCATTTATATATATAAATATCATTGCTAAGTTTGAGAGTTGGGGTTTTGGGGTTTTGGGGTTTTGGGG